CTGTCATTTCACTCACTAATAAGATCTTTGTGTTTGAAATATAAGGTTATGTTCGCCTTAAGAACGACTGCCACTGCAATAACGAACTAAAGCAATTCAAGTGTATTTTTAAGTGTGGTAAAAAAGTTGAGCGAATTCTTTTTTGGGTATGTATGTGAGCCTGCAAAAAGTGCAGTGTGCTTTGGAGATAAAACGCTCAACAGTTGTGGCAGCGATATAAGCAAAATCCGCTTTCCTGCAACTGCTGCCGAGTTGCAAAGACGGAGCCAGCATTTGATTTGGGGCAACGGCAGCTGCAGCAATCTAGCCAACTAGGTGCCATAGCATAGAAATACGAATAAAGAACGAGGGGAGCAGATGACAGACGACAACAGCACATTTGCAATCAACTGACGTTGCAACAAACAGGCGACGGGCAGATAGTGAAATTAAAGCAAATAGTGAAAGAAAATGAAATGGAAGGCAGCGAAAGCAACGAAGCTGGAAAGAGGAGGAAACTATCGCCGCAGCTTTGTTGTTAGAATTTGCGATTGAATGCGCAGCAGTTTGTGGCAGCTATCAATGTGGCACAAAAGCACAGACACTTAAACACTGGTGACTTGTGTAGATGCAGATAATAAGAAAACAGTAGCAACAACATAAAATAAAATGGGAATCGAGTAGAAAAATACGCATAAAGAGCGCAAAGAAAGCGGCACAAACAAGTGAGTCGGTGGATCGAGCTGGCGGACAGAGTGGATTGTGAGGGCGCTCGAGCGCTTACGCTTATATCTACAACACAAATCCACTCAAAATATTGAAATATCAGTGGTGTGGCAAGTGAAAACGCATATTGGAGCAGCGAGCGCTGGTTGAGTTTATGGCTTGTCTACGAGCTGCTGATAGCGTGGCATTTGAGCTTATGTTAAGTGGAAATTGCGCTGCAGCAACGAAAGGTTGCTAAAATTTGAAGGATTTGGGAAAATTTATGTATTGGGTTTGCCACCACCCATGCGTAAGCAGCACCATATTTTTCCAATTCTTTTCGTGTCTTTTGTGGCACAAACTGCTTAAGGCTGCGCTTGCGACACTAAAGCTCATGAAAATGTGCTATTATATTAGATTGCCACCCTGCTCGTGGCAACAACTAAAAGACATTTCAAAGCATTGCTCAATCTAAAGGGCATTAGAAACTAATACAGTCATCGCCACACACACACACTCGTATATATGTATGTAGACGCCTGCATTGCCCGAGCGCTGGTGATAATCAGCAAGCGCTTAATCTCTAACGGCGATTCACAGCTTTGGCATTGGTGTTTAGTCAGTCACAGCAGCAGTTACACATTTAATACGAGCTAAGCTGTCGCCGCAACAACAATGGCAAAGCGAAAGTCAAGGCAAACAATACAACTTAATCCAAATCTCCGTACAAAAGGCGTGTGTCAGTATGTATGCCCGGGCGTTACTATCACTAAAATTGTCATGCAACATGCAACCGACAGTTGACAAGGCGCTGAGCCACTGCATTGACAGCTGTGACTTTTGCCATAACAGGGTCCGGCATTTGAAGAGTGCAACCTTTGCGCCAAGCCACAACAGCACAGCGCCTGCTGCAGTGCATCCAGTGGGTCAGTCAACTGGTCAACAGCAGTCAGCCAATGCTACTGATATTTAAACACCTACACACACACACGTGTATATAAAAATTGATATGCAACTGCTGCAGCTTAACTGTGCTTTGGTTGCTGTCCCATTGCGCTTTTTGTGTGGCAAGTCGACGCTGTTTGTCGTTTCGGCAGCGCTGCGCTGTGCCGTGGCTTTTTCGTCTCTGCTTCTTCAAAGCTCATACTCATTGATACACTTGTGGTTGTAGCGTTGGCGGTGTGTGTTTTTGTGAGTTTTGCGAAATTTCATGCAAATTGCGGTAGTTGATGGGGTGTCAGCTATGGACAGCTCATCATGAAATGAAATGTTAAGTAAGTTGCTGCGAAGTAGTTGATTTGCGCAAGGGAAAGTGCTGAGGATAGCTTCACAAATTATTTGTGTGATTTATGATTTTAATATTGAAGTTGCTATGAGTTATGAAATTTGATTTGCGTGAAAGGTAAATGGAAATGCGTCGATAAAAAATGTGTGATTTTTTTAAAATAATTTTTGTGATATCGTTCTGAAATTTTGCGCACATACGTTACTCCCAAAGTAGCTGCTCATTTGTCGAAACGGCCGATATCGGACCACTATTGCATATAGCTGCCATACAAACTGAACGTTTGGAAACAAGTGCTTGTATGAAAAACTTTCTCATTTGACGAGATACTTTCAAGAAATTTGACATGGATTATTGCCTAAGGCAAAGGTGTAAACTCCGAAGAAATTATGCAGATCGGATCACTATAGCTTATAGCTGCCATACAAACTGAACAATCGAAATCTAGAACTTGTGAGAAAGTTTTTGCATTTGTGTGGTATTTTAGCTACGTTGCAATCGCATTTAACATGTTTTCTTGTTTTGGCTTTATTTGTGGGAATTCTCTGCAGCATTATGCCACTCGCAGACTAACAACTCGCTGCGCGAGCTAAGATGAATTTACTTAAATATGTTTCCATCATTTGCTCGCCGCCAATATCACTTTCATATGCGCATTCTTACTGAAATTACTTTGCCTCAGCTGTGCTGAAATCATACAAGTAATTGCCAGTTGCACACCTGTGTGGCAAGGTAAACATTTGCCTCGCATTTTTCCCAGATTTGCCGTAATTACGGCGAGTGAAAAACAATTTTCGTAATTAGAAATTATCAGCTAAAAGCAATTTTCCACCGGCAAATGCAGGCGACGACCTAAATGCCGCATGCAACAGGCGCAGCCATGCATGTGTCGTACAGCTGGCAGTCGAACACATAGCGTAGAGCAAGGTTTACCTGCCTGCGAGGCATACATACACACACAAAGCACCGAAGCAGGCAAATAAATAAACGGCGCTGGAAATTTTCCTTTCTTCACGCTGCAACGTTAAGTTATGCGGCAGTGCAAGGTACAAGCAAATACATATAGACGCATACGCTCCTCCGCTGTGCCAGCCGTAACAACATTTCTCGTCTTTCACCGCTTTCTGGAACTATGCTTGCCACACAGCTGCAGTTGTTGTTGTTGCTATTGGTAACTTAATATTGCACTGTGTTTACTATCAACACATCTCACTAATATTGCAACGTCGTCTTCATGCGCCGTTTATGGGCCATACTTAATGCCTCATTGGCTGGCTTTTATTTGCCATATTGACCTACTCGCTTACTGAATGCCTCTCCAGCGTTGTTTGTATGCATGTTGCATACACTTTTACTCTGTCCTCCCTTGCCCGCGCAACTGTTTCGTTAGTTCAAACGTTCTGCTGGCATTTTCTCATATACCACGCAGTTCTTCGACGTGTTTTCAGCGTCACTTTCAGCTTCACTGGCTTCAATTGTACCGTTATGACTATGCGAAGTGGTAGACAATGAACGCTTTTGCTTATTTTATGACAGTTTTGGTTATAGAAACACAGAAATCAGGCGTGTGAAAGACACACCACCAACCAAGCGCGGCAGTTAGAGCGAGCTCAAGGGGAACGCAATGCTAAGGCATGTGTGTGACCATATCTTACACTGAAAGCGCAAATAATGAAAAATCACCTGCTTTTGCAGACTTGCTCGTTTCCGCACTGCTTCTGCAAGTTTGCTTTGTCTCGTCTTCTTCGACTTCGTTTCGACACTATTTACTTTGGTTGGAATTCCTTACCTTCGCTCTTGCCACACACCGTTCAACGACGTTTGCTTTTGTTCGTTCTAAATGAACCGAAATGTTCAATTTGCGCGTTTGTCAATATTTATTCTGTGGCCATTGTCATCTGGTGCGCGGCGCGCTCGAACGTATGTCGCAGGTATTGGATTTGGCAGCATGGAACTCGCAGCCGCTAAACCTCGTTCGCCTGTTTGCAGGCGCCATCAATTGAATGCTCAACACATTTAGAATATGTTCGGAATGTGTGTGTGTTTGTTGTTGTTTTCAATCAACATAACTACAATGTAATCTCGCTGCCTAATCTTTGTGTATTTGAGCAACTCATTTCGAGTCTCCCAACAAATGCTGTATTGCGCGCTGTGAAAACATATTTCATAGCAATTTCCGGCCATTAAATCCGAAAAGTGGCTGCCGCATATACCCACGCCCACATTTTCGGCTGTTAAATAAATTGCTTTAATTATGTTCGCTGACTGCAAGTGATTGAAAAACTGTAAATTGGAAAATTGTGCTGTCGCTATTAGAACTTCGGCGACTTCTTTCATAAATATTGAGCAATATGACTGTGAATTCTACACTTTTTCGAAACTGTTTTACTCTGGACGAAGCAGATACTCCTATATAGCCTAGGCGTAGAAAACTCGACAGAGCTTCATTATTTAACGCCATTAAATAGGACTTAGAACTGATATATTATTCGCAGAATATAAACAAAGCTCCTTGAGACCACTTAAATTTCAGAACTTCGAGCTTATGGTTACTACATTTAGTTGTTTGGAAAAAGTAGCGCTTGACATGCATTTAAATAAGCTTAGATTTAACAGTTTAGTGTCATATTAAAAAGCATAGAAAAAGCGGGCCGTGAAAATATAGGCTTAAGAATAGCCGAATGTCAATAGTTGCTTACAGTCAATGAACTATCAATAAGATGCAAGTTTGAGAAACAAAACTATAAACTTAGTTATCCAGCAGCATTTAGGTAGGCGTAAGCCGAACTCAGCCATTGGAAAAGTCGCTTGCCTGCTACTTGATCTACTACATAATTGCACGAACGGAGACTTCTTTAAAATTGCGCGCAAAGCTCGTTGTGTTTGATTTTTGGTGAGAGCTTTCAGTGCCGCTGATTTATCAACATTTTACTCGCTTTCGTCAGCAATGCTTTTTTTTTTTGTTAAATATTAAGTTTTTGTGTCTCTTGCTAACAAATGTAATATCCATTATCTTGTTCTCTCTTTGCAGGCCTCGCCGTCGTTCTGGCTCCAGCATAGTCGTTATTGATGGTGACGATTTGAAGCCATGCTTACCGGACGACTATATTAGTAGTCAGCATTATCGACAGCATTCTGGTGAGAGCAAAGAAATCGATCAGGAAATGTTGACAATGCTTTCAGTTAATCAAGATAATGGTGAGTTATGGTGTAAGCAAGCTGCAAAGCGCACTCTCATTAATACGCACGAATTTTCGCCATAGGTCCACATCGTGAGATGGCTGTCGATTGTCCAGATAATTTTATCGCGCGTAATAAGACACCACCACGTTATCCACCACCACACCGTCCACCACAGGTAAATAGTCTTAGGCTTGACGGGAAGTCAAGAATGAAGCCAAGCACAACAGCACTTAAAAAGTACTGCACCATTTACTCAAACACCCTACCCAATAAGCACAAACGCATGCAAGCATTAAATAATAGCTCACCCAACACACTCACCTTCACCAAAAACCCAAAACTCTCAAAACAACACACTGACACACAGTCATCAGCGACACACTCACTACACTCATCACAAAAATCAGCAATGTCTATAACAACAACAATGACTGACAGCACATCAACACCACCACCATCACCACCATCACTACCAAACACTCCCCCACCCAACTTGCACAAAACACACAAATCACTTGCAACCCACAACGCTTCTCCCATGAACGTAACCAACACCGACAACGACACCAACACCGACACTAACCAATTTGCCACACAATGTGTAGAATTATTTAACGGTAATGGTAACAGACTAATCGTTACGTATCATTCTAAATGCGACTCATCGCCGTCGACAACACCATTACCAACAAAAACAACCACAATATGCACCATGCCAACAAATACATCACCGACATCATCAATCGACACCACAACGACATACACCAAAATTGCGCTACTCAATGATACGCACACACTGTTGCAACAACAAAATTTGTACAACCAACAACATCAATTGAAATTGGAACAAATTGAAAATTTCGAAAACAATTTGGCCACCGCAACGCCGGCACCAACACAAAACGCACAACAAACACAAATTGGCAATATGCAGCCACCAACACAATACAAAACCAATAACAATACACCACAACAACAGACACCGACTGCAACACACAACAGCAATGGCGTTGGCAATAAGCAGGCTTTGCCGACGCTGAATAATAAGTACGGCGCCACCAGCAGCAATCCGAATGGCAGCAACAGCGGCGAGGAGTTCGAGTTGGTGGCCATCGATGGCGGGCTGCTGCACCGCGCCGGCTCTGCTTCCTTTTCGTCCTCGTGCGAGGATTCAATCGGCAAGAGCTCCTACGATTCCATTGCCTATTGTCATTTACATAACAAGCAAAACAACAACATCAACAGTCTCAACAACAATAACATAAACAACAATCAACACAACAACACGAGCAATTCATCTAATTCATCAACGCCAACGAAGCGTGGTTGCGGCGGTATTGCCGGTGGCGCTGGCGATAGTAGCGGCTCGAACGGCTCGTCGCCTTGCGCCAACGCAGCGCCATTGATTGACGGTTTGTGCGGCGCTCCGCCCGAGTATGAGCTGCTGCCGGTTTCGATGTGCAAGCAAGTGGCTGCGAGTCTCTTGCAACCATCGTCGGTTAAGCACCGCGAGCTGCCCGTCGACGTGCCGGACAGTTTCATAGAGATCGTGAAGACGCCGCCGCGCTATCCGCCGCCACCACATCTGTCGTCGCTTTCATCACAGCTGTCATCGAACTCGTCCACTTCGACGGCCAACACTACACTGACGCACATCAACTCATCGTCAAACTCATCCACCAACAACAATAATCACAACAACAGTCACACTAATGATAACTCCTTCTCGCCCACGTGTTCCTCCATCTCGGGCTCATATTCGGCGCTGGCATCCATCTCGGCCACGGGTGTCGCAACACTGTCCGCATGCTCGCCGCTCTCCACGGATCATCAGTCAAAATCAGCAAGCACAAAGTCAACGTCCGGCTGTCATCCACTGAAACAGTTGGTTAAACAGAAGAGTCTGATATCGTTGGGCTCGCTGAGTGGCTCCGCGGAGAAATTAGATAAATCAACAGCAACGCAACGTCAACAACCGCAACCGCAAGTGCCAACGGGTGGCGGCACAAGTGCGGTCGATGGCTGCTTGGTGAGCAAAAGTGCCAAGACGTCATCCAAGCGCAACGATGAGGTATTACAACCACTTGTTTCACACTCCTCTGTCCACTTCACTATGTAAACTTTGCAAGAATTCTGTAATACGTTGTGTCTTCCACATCTTCCGGTTGCACCGTTGTGTCAAGCAGGCGAGAACCGACTGCAATTTGCTGCAGCGTGCTCGTAGCCACTCCTTTGTCCTCCCCGTTTGCCGCTACTACGCTTTGGTAGTGGCAACACTTGTGTATATTTTGCTTTTCCAATTATTTTTCTTTTTATTTCTTTTGGTTTTTCGTAGTTGTATCATCTTTGTAGTTTGCTTTAGTTTATTTCACATTATTTTTAGTGCTCCATTTGTATGTAAGCTGTAACTGTAAAGAGAAAGGTATGCATTTTGTGCTAGCATGGTTTGGATGCAATTTTATACTTAGCCCTCTCCGCCTGAACTGCCTCCAACTGCTAAAGCGTCTTCCTAAAAAAGCTGTCGTGCTTTGTAAGCTCGCACGTAAACCCATTTTCCCGCTTAAGCTGCTGCGACTATGCTGTACCAATTGCTATCGCCGTCACAAACATCTTTTGTCTTTATTGTAAGCACTTAATCACGGTCACACCCGCTTAGATTTCCGTTTTCATAAAATTTTGACACTTACAACATAGCTCGCATTGTTGGCGCCTTTCGCTCTGCTGCGCTCGAAAAAAAATTTAAGAACGCGCGAGTCATATATTTCAGTGTACTCACAGCATTGGTCACCTTATAGCGTTCTTAAAGTACGGCGATTCTTAAGTGTTTTCGCATGTCTTGTCACATACCGAATGCGCGTTGCAGATATTGCTAGAATTTCAAGAGTGGGCGTGTCCCATTAACAAATCGTACTACCATAAATATTTCTGCGCGCATTAGCTTCAGTATACTGCGCGTACACATGTATGTAATTCACCGCGCGCGTACCGAATTTTCAGCGTTTGTCACCGCTAAACAGCCACCGCTGCGTGTGTGCAACACTTTTCCATTATGTTGATAGGTATGATGCATGAAATGATTGTATTGCCAAATGAACGCGCTTTAGCTGCTGTTGGCAACGCCGCCTCAAACAAGTGGCGCGCTAGTGCAACTGTTGCTGCCACACATGTTGCGCGTGGCAGGCGTGCTGTTTTGAAATGGCTGGGGCGAAATTTTATTTTATGCGCAACGCATACGTAATATCGCCACTACATCGATGTCAAGTCGTTGTCACAGCGCGCTCATAAATTCCCAAATTTTCAGCCAAAAACCGGCAGATTATGTGTGCAAATGCAGAAAAGCAAAGTGCGACGGGCAACATGCCCTGCGCGATCAAACGCTGGCGTTTACCAGCGCGTATAAAACTATATGCTGGCAGCGCAGCAATTGTTGTCATATTTTATGACACTTTTTGTGGCGCTTTTCTGCTTTTCTTGTTGCATGCATGAATCAGCGCCAAACGCTTGCAGCTGCGCTTTTCAAGTAAGCATTACAAGTTTTGCTTTGTAGGAGCGCGCTTGAATTCATGCTTCGCTATTCATTCTGAAATATAAAGACACGCTTTGCGCGTCAGTCGCATGAGATAACTGTCTCACTTTTTGCTTGAAGCTTTGGTGCTCGTGCCGCCTGCTCACGCTGCCGCGGTAATGTGTGTGCCTCGGACTGTGCGTTTGCTGCTTTGCGCTTTGCTGAGTATGACACTTTTAGCGCCGAATTTTGTGACTGTCGTAGTTAGCAATTTAGTCAATTTAGTTGAGGTTATGTTGCAAATGTTGTGTGGAAATTTTCGCAGCTTAACTAGTTTAATTCCGCATTTGCTCTAAAACTATTTGTCGCGCTTCTATTTTGCATGCCTTTGCGTGCCTTCTGCAATTACCTTTGCTAGATAAAATACAATATTTCAAATTGCAATCTCACTTAAAATGGCTGCACTAGCGCTTGAGCTATGAAAAATTAAATTTCGCATTTTAAAATACCAACGCCAGCACGCCCCCACAGACACGTACAAAATCTCTCAACTCCGCCAGCACGGCACACCGCGCGCCCCCAGCGCCTGTGTCTTGCCACGCCAACCAACACTCGCGCGTGTACTTAGCTGCCATGCGAGTGCCGCCGGAAATTAAGGCAATAATAATAATTTTAAATGTTGCCGGCGCTGACGTGTTTCCCTCACAACTTCCCGCGACGCGCTTGTGAGCCGTGTGAAAATCGCTATTACCACTGCTTTGCCAACATAACCGTAAACGTTATGGCGCACTTTGTATGATGTGTTGCATGGTAGCACATGTTGCAGATGCTTATCACACGGACAACGACCAATGCAGACTTGCCACAAACTCGTCTGTTCGCAGCTGGTAGCATTTCAATTGCATGACTAAGCGGTAATACGTTTGGATACGGCATGTATGCACATAAGTTTTCGGCGTTGACCTGCAAACGTTCAGCATGCGGGTTGGGCAACTATTCCCATGTTGCAATGGTATGCAGTAGGGCGTCGCAGGCGATGCAAATCGACACAATTTTTGGAAATTTTTTGTGGGTTGTGGCAAAAATGAGAAAACGCGTACAAAATAGTCAAATTAATTTTGCACCAAGTAGTAGCGCCTGGTTTCCAATAAAAATATGTCAAATAGTGAATACATTTTGGCTAAGCGGCAAGCTCCTAATTGGCAACAGACTAGTTGTCGCAAAGGCAGACCTTTGCCAGTTAACCACACGTACTCATATGTCAAAGCGCGCACAGCCAGTTCGCTGACTAAAAATTTTTTAATAAAACGCACTTTCCTCAAAAAATCTTTGTGCAAACAATTTATCCTTTTTTCTCAATTTTTTTATTTTTTTATTTTGCAATTAAATTCCGTCATGTTGAAAAACGTATTGTGCTGGCCCGCGCGTTGCTTGCTTGCTCCACTACACCTGCAGTAAAAACATTTGAAATTGTAAAATAAAACATAGCAACCTTGAATTTCGCATGAAAAAGCCTCTAACGTAAGCAGCAACACCGTTAACATTTGCCACAGGCGTCTGAAAACACCGCTCCACACTTTTATATTTTCATTAAACTTTAACACACGCATACTCACCAACTCGCTTACATAAACTCATCTTTTCCAACTATGCGACACGCTCGTACCAAAAATAACGCAACTAACCGCTACTAATCAACGCTTGTAGTTACCGTTAACGCTAAAATTGAACAACACAAACTATTTGCTAAACATTCCTATGATTTCGCTAATCACACTTTGTTTTTCTTGCCATGCGCCGCGCAGTTGAATGGCTCTGTGAAGCCCGTGCCGCCGCCGCGTGATCACCTGCGCGTCGAAAAGGATGGCCGCCTGATAAGCCGCACGCCCGCGCCGCAACTGCCAGATCGGCGTTTGGCCAGCAGTGGCGTAGGCGCGCCACAGCAGATAGCGCAGATTGTCGAGCCGACGCTGGAGCAGCTGGACAGCATCAAAAAGTACCAGGTAAGTGCACAGATGTTTATGCTAAATTTTTATATTTGCAAAAATACTGCAAGCGTACGAAATATACGCAGGTTGCAAGCGCGTTTGACAGCGCGGTTGCATATGCCACTAATAAAGTGCCGTTAACTACTCGCTATGATAGGTGCCTAAAAGTATGCAGCGTAATTGCGTGGCGCGCTCATTTGCAGCTGTTTGATTAGATGTTGGCAATACATTGGTGTTAAAATTGTTGCTTTTTACAGCACGGATTTGTTGTCTGCGCGCTTTGCGCTTGATTTAGCATATTAATGCATTTCACACGTTTTACGAGCGCATAAATTTGTATAACAAAGTAGTTTTGCGATTTATGGGCCACAAGCGTCCGCTGTGTGTTAGAATATTAAAGTTTATGTGGACTTGTAGTACGGAAATATTGTGGTTCTAGCGTATGCGCACGTTGTAAGTAGGCAGTGTGAGCGCCTTGTAAGAATATATGAAAGTAAGGGTGTAGTACTAGTTAATTACTTGAGACGTTAAGCTCGAGGTCTGTTCGAACTTTTGCCATTCGCGCTTTAAAAAGTTAAGGTAAAAAAAAATTGGAAAAGCAAGCCTTACTATACCAGCTGTTCAAACATATAACGGTAAAGCGTTGTAGTGTGAAGTTGGCTGCGAAAAAATTCAATAAGATCAGCTTTTATCATTAAACGAAATCAACTTAGTGAACGAACCAAGAGTAAGTTAATATAATATGCAAGTGCTCAAGTGTAACTAATATCCAACAACTATTCAGAGCTGACTGACACCTTTACGCACATATATTTTCACATTAAAATAAAAATAAAAAAATTAAAAATCTTAAGCAGTTTGTGACCCACAAATCTGATTGCACGAAGTATTTGTCGTAGAATGACGTTTTTATACCACACCGCCGAATAAAGGTTACAGTTATGCACCGCGCTCGAATGCCACGCCCATGGCGGTACACACGGCTGAACGGTTCAAGAACACGCGACGCAAAACATGCACAGTGCAAATAATGTGGAGTAGAAATCAAAAGTGCATGAGAAAAGAGCTGCCAGCAAAAGCGCAAATACCACCGCTTGGCGAGGACGCGAGGGGCGCTGCGGGCGCGTATGAATAATGAGCACAGTGCAGCAGCAAACAAATAGTGAATAAAAGCAGCGAGAGTGCATTGAAAAATGATATTGGAAATTCAATGAATTCAACCGCAGCGAAGAGGAACTGCTGTAACGGCAAATAGAACAACAACGCCACTAAGTGTAATTTGTAACGTTAACAACAAATGCAGGAAAATATACAACACGCGAGTATGATGGCCGCCAGCACACACATAAATAATGCATTGGGGGTGGGAAAGTGAGGTTAGAACATAAATAATGCATGGCAGGAAGGCAGGTAACAGCAGAAAAGTAAGTGGGTGCAACAGCAAGTGGCGTTGCCTACTGATAGCACATATACAACACTGAGTAAACAGCAGTCTAGCGCAACAGTGTAATACCAGCTGCAGCACTGCGCCGCTGCGCAAAGAAAAATAGCTAAAAATAAATGAAATGAAAAGAAAAAATGCATATACACAATGCACAAATAAATACAAATGAGTGGCGGAAATGTCGGTGATGCAGGCGACATGCAACAAAGCCCATTACGCTTTGGTAAATAACCAGCTTAGGCAACGGCAGTGGCACGCCACGGTGCGCGGCGCGTGCTTGCAATCGAAATGGAAAGCGCATTGCGGTGGCGAGCGTGTGAGTGAGTGAGTGAGGGTTGCGAAGGCAGCAAATCAATGCATGCTTTGTGGCGTGGTGTGGCAAATGATGGCGCATGACAATGTAATGCGCGCGCGCTGGGCCACGTTGCGCCAACAGAATTGTGTGGCAGAGATGGTACAAAAATAACTGGAAATGTTTAAATTTAAGTAAATATTTGATTTGGTTTAGTTGGCAAAGTGCATAAGCGGTAAAATGTGTGGAATGGCGTAGAAAGACTTATGAATATTGACAGTGAGTTTGTGGCAGACAAAGCGCTAAGCTGAATGGTTACCGATGAGCGAAGATTGCAAAAAAAATACTGCTGCTAAAAGTGCAAATACAATGCAAGACACGATACGCATAAATAACAACGAATTGAAGTTGGTTTGCGAAGAATTGTAAATGGAATAAACTTAGTTTGCGCATAGTCTCTCCTCAAGCGCAGCATGCTGTAGGAGTATACAAGAAAAAAGCTAAGAAAATTATAATAAAACTAGTTTAATAAAGTAATACAATGAAAGCAAACTACACGCATTTAATAAGCAATAATACTGAGGCTTAAATGCGGCGCCTGCTACTAAACCTACCACTAAACCACAAAGTTAACTAAAACGTGTAAAAGCAGTGAGCGACTTTAACACAGTTTCAGTGTCGCTGTTTGTCATTAGCCAGCCGCCTTAAATCACTTTTGTGTGCACTTGCTTGATGTGCCAGCTCATGCCATTGCACGTACGGAGTTTGCTTAAACTACAACACCTAATCACGCTCCGGCGCGCACTGACAGTAAAGTTCAACGCCTGCAAGTGTGCTCACAGCCCTTAAGTGCTACGTAAGTGCGCAATCACCTGCGTAACTATTGCGATAACTTGCCACATGAAGTTGACCGCCGCCAACAACAAGCCCTTGGTTGTTGTAAGTACCTGGCATATTACTTGAGTCATGAATTTGAGTGGCGGAAACCTTGCGGCGCTGTGTGGCAGTTTATGCCTCCTAATAACAACAAATTGAGTCGAGAACTTTGCGTATAAAAATAAATAGAGTTGAGCGCGAATTACGAGCGCACACACGCGCATACGCAAATGAGTTGCTGTTTGCTTTGTGTGCGTATGAACGCATTGACAGCGTTGACAGCGCTGACGCAGGGTTGCCTTGTGCGAATGACAGTAAATATGGCATGCGACGCGTTGTAAGAGCGGTTGACAACTTCCGGCGACAGTGGCAAGAAAAGGCAGTGGCGCTCAAACTGAAAGTAAATATACGCTTGCTAATAATAGCGCTGCGGGAAGTTTGCAAAGTCGGCCAAGCAGCAGGAAGTGCGAAAAGTGTGAGCGCGTGGCATTAGTTGGGTGAAGAGTGCGCCGGGAATACTCTGCGAGTAGCAATGAAGTGTCAAAGTGTCGAAGTGTCACAACGAAGAAATTGTGGAAATTTGCTACTTGAAACTTATTATGCAAATTTACGTTACAGTAACAAAAAGCGTCGTTGCAACGAGTCGCACGGCTGCGTCAGAGAGTGGCAATGCAGAACAGAGCGAGTGTGAGTGAACTGCGGCCTCCACAAGGCTTTGTTATTTAAGCAAATAGCGTGTATATTTCTCAACACCGGCATATTGCGCAACGAAATCGATATTGTGGGCCAAGTTTTGCAGCGAGCAGTAAAAGCCTGACACACCCACGCACTACGCCGTCAGCGTAGCGCCGCCACACCGTTCAAGTGCTTTGTCTACAGTTACCATTTATGTGAACTACCTCACTTTATTGCCGCTGTTGTATATATACTTTTGGTTAAAAGTGTATAATCCCTGCGCGACCCATTCCACCTTGCGCGCGATTTCCTTACTTTCACTATGTTGAAGTGTCGTTTGAGCGCCACGACATTTATGAACTTGAGCTCATTTCTTACACTATTTTCGGTTGACCCATGCTATTAAGTGCTCTTCTTTCAGCGGTGGCCTCTGTGCTTTTTATGATGGCGCCAACAGCGTGAAATGACCCGGTTGGCCATGTCATACAGCTCGTTCATCCGCTCATCGTACAGCAGTGGCTAAAAACTGTCAAACGTCTATAAAAGAATATATATATATATACTACAATATATATTTACGTACGTTGTAAGAAATATGTGTCACAGCTAGTTGTTGCTTTTGTTTTCCCTGTCGTTTAGCCGGTTCTAGCTGGTTCAAATGGCGCTTTTTGCCTGTCTTCGACTACAAACGAATTTGATGCCATGTCGCGCGCTTAATCTCTTCTATTTCCCTTTTCTGCTTGTATTTTCCTTTTTTTCTCAAATAATACAGTGTGTGCGCTTTGGAGTTTTTTAATTTGAAGAAGTTTTTAACGGCAGCTACGCTCGCGATAATGCTAAATATGCTAGCAACATTTTGCATTGTCTTCTTTTCGAGTTAATTTCGCCACCTACTTCTTCTGTTGAGTGTCATATAATAATATATTTGAACTCTGTCGTCTTTCTTCACTTTAGCGGCTATTAAAAATTCATTTATTAACGCTTAGTTTGGTTCAATTTCCGATGTCATTCCTACAGATTTTTAAAGTGGTTCCCTAGACCACTTTTATTGAGACATAATGTACTTTTCTCTTGGCTGCTCTCATTGGAAAGCCCAGCGACCCTAGCCTATACCATTCTTAGTATAAAACTTTAATTATAATTTTCATTGTCTGGCATGGAAGAGCTTTCACATAAAAGCTCAGCTTATGTAGCTTTGTGGAAAGATTCCAGACTTTGAAGAAAAATCTGGTATATGAACACAGTTACACATATAACCGAGGTAATAACCGAGATGTCTGGCATGGAAGAGCTTTCACAAAAAAGCTCAGCTTATGTAGCTTTGTGGAACAATTCGGGGTTTTGAAGAAAAATCTGGTATATGAACGCGGTTAAACATATTATCTCTACACTCCGCATCCAAATGCAATACTAAAGCGCGCCTGGTAACGCACAATTCTCACAAGTGCAAAGCGCGCGCTCACCGCTAACACTCACCTGTGCCTGTGTGGTGCGTGTGTGTGTGGAGTACTCGACTCTCCAGCGCTAAGCGCTCGCTGATAAGTGACAGGTGTTCGTGCGCCGAGTGGCGTATTTCCCACACAAATAATACACGTGTAAAAGCAAGTCAATACGCGCACTTCAGCGCCGATCACAGTGAGCACGGCATGCAAAATCTTTCGGAAAAGTGAACAAAAATGAATTATTAGCAAAAATTTAACTAATTAAGTACTCCGCTATTATTAATTT